CCATCATTTTTTGCCCATGCAGCATGCGGCCTCATGCGCGCCCGTCGAACGTCAAACGTCAAACGGCGCACCACCAACCACGTGTTACTTTCCCAACCATGTTTCCAACCACGCGCACATGCGCGCCGACCTCGCTATGCTGATACATAATCGATACCGTGCCGCACACGCTAATCCCCAGAAACATACCACGACAGGTTAGTATGCCGCAGGTGCAAAATCGTCGCGTTGTTGTTGGCAAGACTAATTACGCGTCCAATGAAGTTAGCTCCTAAAATTAGTTGTCTTGTCGGCGTGACCTCGTGTCGAGAAGATTCGCTGTCTTGTGTGTGATGCCACCTCGGCGGCCGTGCGCCTTCGTAAAGCGCGGGCTGAGCAAGGGGCCTGGATCCGAAAACGGGACCCGAGCCGGTCTGGCCTGAGGCTCATTTCTGATTTCATGCGAAAAGGGTGGTGATGCGAGCGGGACGTTGCGATCGGGACGGTGGGACGATTGTTGAGGACGTTGGTTTTCTCGTATCTTCGGTGGTCCGCAACTGAAAGTTCTCGCAGCCAACAATCGTCGTGTTGACGCGCTTGCTGGATGGGACGCGCCAAGCCCCAAACGGAGAAGGTGCCGGGCGTCACACCTCAACCTCACCAGGCCTTCAACACGTTTGTAACCGTCTCACGAAGAAAAGACGCCTCACAAGGCGCAGTCCCATTGTACTGCCTCTTCCAGGCGCTCGATACAACTAGTGATCCACCATTTATGGGCATGGTGGCGCTGATACGGTCATCTCAGAAGAGGCTTTGCGGATGACCTCGCTGACTACATGTCTTACAGATGAAGACCATCAAGATGCGAAGAGGCTGCAAGCAACCCACAGGGCACGAATCAGCTCAAGCCAGCTCACCAGGCCAGCTATGGCTGTTCAATCATCAAAACATTTCCAAGGTTACATCCCCTCATATTTCAGAACGAATTTACGAAAGCCTTTGAATTTGCCCCCGGCCGCACGTGTATACCTCTCATGAGCGAATAATGGCCCTATGAAAAGCCAGATCGATTTGGTAGAGCCTCGTTGGCTTCTGTTTCAGGCTACATCCAACAGAAGTCTATCACAGCCATCTTTCGGCTTTTCAACTCCTCAATCACCTTTTCAAACAAAGCTTTGTACCGCTCCGTGTCGAAAGTTCCTGGTAAGTAATCCCAACGTGGGGGGGAGGCCCTGATGCACAAGCGTCCACCATACCTCTCCATGGGTTCCGCCGCTGTAAGCATTATGTACCGTAAGTGTACCGGGATTGCTTCCCAATCTTTCTCATGCATCTTCTTGCGGTTGTGTCGAATGCGTCCCAATAAATGGCCCGGCCAAATGGCAAGATGCACTGAGCTGTAGAAACCTGTGAGGGGTACACCGAAAGCGTGTGAGTGTGCTGTACCGAAGTGGAAGAGTGCGTTCGAATCGACAAAGATCGTACGCGCTGTCTCCCTTGCAATTTTGTATCTCGCTCGCTCTACGAGAGCGGCTACCATGTCCGGATGCGCGAATTCGCGCTTCATGAAGTGCGGCGTGTCGAAAACCGGGTACGGCAGCTCAAGGTTTCCGGTCCTTCGATGGTCCCACTCTGCTGCTACAGAGTCTATCCCAGCCCGTGCTAACCTCAGTATCTGATCATGCAGGCTACAGTCCTTCCAAAAGATGGGACATTGGCTGACGGTACCTTGGGTGCCTTCTCTGGCCATACGTTCACCCCACTTAACTTCCAAGTTGATGTGGGATTGTATACCATCCTGCAGGCTCACCCTATCCTGGGTATAAAAGAAATGTGGCTTATATCTGTCATCACGCACATACGGCTTATACATCCGACCGAGCAAGTGATCGAAAACGAGGTCCTGGAGTTCCTGCGGCAGAGCATTGACCCTTGATGTGAGCGAGCGACAACTGCTAGAAGCATATCTATCGAGATCTGCGTTTTTCATCATCGAACAAATGGCTCTGCGATAGCGTTAGCTTCATGTTCTCCGTACGGCAATCTCTCATCTCAGTCTTACCTGTTGCACACGAATAGCTGCCGCTTCAAATACGGAAGCATCCATCGGTAGGTCTTCCTTGTCCTACAAGCATGCGGAAATTCCGGGTCTCCGGATCTATTCAATCGTCGTATTTCCCTCTTCAACTCTCTCACTTTTTCTCTCATGGATAGAACACGCGCGCTGAAGACTCGCTGGATGGCCAGGAGACGCTTCCATCTTTTGACAACGGCGGGGGTGAAGCCTATTGCCTCGTTCAGGTCTGGGTCGTACGGGATGATGGCGCTCGTTTGGCGAGGATAATAGTAAGTGGGTTTGAAGATAGACATATTGTTAGTGTTCACGTCTGAACGATCTCAAGTGAAGAATTTGTACTTTCGACTTGACTCACAAGTAACGTACCGTACCATGGGTCGACAGGTGGAGCCAGCCTATGGATGTCGAGGTATAGCATCAACATTCGTTACAGACACGCTCGCCGCGATGCATCGTACGCGCTATTTGGCGATAAAATCTCATCGCGATAACCATGGTACTATGACGACCCATCGCCGACAAGCCACTCACGACTTGCGAAAATCACACTACAGCTATACTTTCAGGCCCTTTCAGATGAGGGATGACTAGTACGGCCCTACGTACCTTTCTACTTATTCTTGCTAGCTTCTAAGCTCCTTGTTTCATGGCATGGACGAAAGACTCATATCACTAGTGACTACAATGCGTGTCGCATTTGACAATGATATCAAGGCAGGAGTAAGCATTGGCTTATGAGATTAAAAGTCACTAGGATTTAATATGGTATGTATGCAGCAAATGTGATACACATCCTAGCTACTTCATAACGCATTCAATTCTGTTAGTACTGCCGTCTTTGATGATGGGGATTACAGGTACCTCTCATAGGCTGCAAATAAATGGGCTGACAGTGAAACATGTCTCTGCCATTGCGACTTCGCCGTAAGCTCTCACGGACCATCAAGGAGTGCCTATTGTTGCCTGCAGAATTGGGAGTAATGAACAGTAGATCGCAGTAGGCCGCAGTAGCCTGTAACTGTGCCCATACATATAAGCCGTGGGTTCTACGCTTCCTTACCTGCTCGCTCGACAGTCTATTTCTCCTCAACACCAGGAGAATCCAATCGCTGTTGTCTCACACGCGCATCAGTACACTACTCCAGCGATTTCGACATCGGTCCGCTATGCTACCAGAACTATCACCAAGGGCCACTTCAATCATGGCCGCGCCCTCGACACCGTCCAACAGCATACCTTCGAACACGTCCTCGAACATTCTGTCCCGTCTTCCTGCCGAACTACGGCAAATCATCTTCTCGTATCTTGGGTACCCCGTTGGAGGACACATATGGACTGACGGTGACGATTACCCTAACCGCAATAATACTATCCAACACAAACATGGGGCCCACGCAGACAGAAGTAAAATCGAAGTGCGTCACAAGATTGCGAAGGTGCGATTTGATGGCTGTTGTCCAAGCAAGGGTATGTCAGGTTATGTCGAACTCCAGCCCCGTCAAATATATCGTACTCTGATAATGGAGCCAAGTCTACTGAGGGTGAACAAGGAACTCCGGACGGAGCTGATGGACCTGGTGTTTGGAGTCAACGACGTAGAGTTTTATGGACCTTTGACAGACGACGCTGCCTTCCAGTTCGACGACAGCTCTCGACCCCGTTGCGCGATCGAACCAAGTTGCTTAGGCCTAATTCCTTCGACACTAACACATATGAGTGCGGTCACTCTACGCGGCAGTTGTCACGGCCATACAGGGCGCGAGAACGCATGGAAAGAAGACTGTCAATCTCTTCGCTTCCTCGCTAAACACGCTACCAACATGCGCCGCCTGACTTACAGTATATGGGAAGGCTCGTGTTACCGAATGTCTACCGAAGGCATCATGGCGCTGGTACAGACGATTCGGGAGGTCACGGTGACTGCAAAGGAACTCGAGAGAGTAAGAATTTTGTGGACAAGTCGTTTTGGCTTTTCTGAGAAAACATGGAAGAAGGAGATTATGGTTTTAGACAAACCCCAATGGGGTGCGGTTGTGCTTAAAGTTTGGCAGATTCTGGATGGACTTAGGGACGAAGAGGAATCTCGCTCGGAGCGTTATGAGGCTGAAATAGCTATGGAGTACTTTCGGATCCTTCCACGTAGACGTCTATGAGACGGAGTTTAGCGATTGCGGTAGCTGTATACAGCGAATACAAAGGCGTCTGGGTGCTGTTTCTTCATTGAGATTATACTACAGAAGTCATCCTGTTCACCTGCACATCTTCCAGCTTTTGTAAAGCGTGAGTGTCAAACAACTAACCTCCGCTGGGTAGAAGGGCAAACGAATAAGCGTCAGACTTGGCGCTCCCATTACCAACGGAATCTCTCACGGACCGTGCGGGCTTTGTTGCCTGCACGAGTTGCGAATACCTCGCAACAGGCAGTAATAGCCCGTGCCCGCCCGCGTACTCTCATAAAATCCGCCATGAATGAGGCACTTCCTCATCTTTCGCACCCAACCGTCAACACACACGATAAAAATTAAGCCACGAAATTCTCACTTAACTCTCCAGTGCAACACCATAGCACCTTCGCATCGCGGCCTCCTCAATCATGGCACCAGTACTACGATCGATGACCAAGTCGGCTCTTGTGGTACCCTCGCCGCCGCCCACCGTCGCGTCTACGAATGCATCTACGAAGGCATCTAGAAATACGCCTAGGAATGCGCCTAGGAATGCGCCTAGGAATGCGCCTAGGAATGCGCCTAGGGATGTACCTGGGAATGTACCTATGAACGTGTCTACGAATGCGTCTATGAAGGCATCTACGAAGGCATCTACGAAAGCATCTACGAAAACATCTACGAAAACATTTACGAAAACATCTACGAAGGCGTCCACGAATGTATCTACGAATGCGTCTCCAGATCTCTTCCCTCGCCTTCCTGCCGAAGTGCGCCATATGGTGTACTCTTATTTGAACTTCCCTGTCGGAGGCTATATCTGGATCGACTGCCCCGGCCGCTGGCACAACAGCTGCTCTCATGCGTCACACTTCAGCCTCTACTCCAATGGCAAGCGTTCATGGATGCGGCACGCAAGCAACGGGGTATTCCAAGTGCGCCGAAAGATTGAGAAATTACAATTCTCCCGAAAGTACTCGAGCTTGTGTCACGTGCGCGCTTGTCTCGTTAAGACTGATAACGATGACGATGACGATGACGATTCATCAGATGAAGACGACTACTTTGAGTCTTGGGAGGAGAACAGGAACTGGTGCCTGGCGGAGAGGAATATACTCGGCGTGAACAAGGAGATCCGATCCGAGCTGATGGATCTGGTGTTTGGACGCACTGAGATCGATTTCGACGATGTGCTGACATTGAAGCACTCTCCTCAGGGTCCTTTTGCGTTATATCCTCGCGTCCAATGGCCAGATACGGTGTTCTGGCTGCGCCTTCTCCCTTCGACATTGGCGCACATGACATCGATTACCATTCCGGGGAAGAGTTATGTGGAAGACTACCGGTCTCTTTCCTTCATCGCTACATACGCGATTAACTTGCGACGATTGACTTTCGTATGGGCAAGATACTACAACAACATCGACATGGCCAACCGCCTAGTGGAGACGCTCCAGCATTTTGATAGGATTGCAAAGAAGCTCCAGACGCTGCGATTTGTGGTAAAAGGGTACAAGTCAACCAGAAAAGATCAGGAGTTTATACTAGAAAAGCCAGAGTATGGGTTTACCGAGTCAAATATTCGGAGGCTGGTGCACGGGATATGAACGAGAAGCTGGATAAAAGGAACGAAGTAGGACATTGAAGTAGCCGATAGGGCGAGATGTGAGGTTCTATGACTTTCAGATGTAAGCGCGTGCTTGATAGAAGCCATGGAATACCTTCACGATTGGATTTGGAATACACAGTTGTGTGGAAACCCACGTTATGTAATCTATGCCACCTTGTTTGTAACTTCGACGAACTTTTGCCACTCGTTGTACGCCGCTCCACTCGAGATTGCCCACTTAGCTCTCCTGACACCCTCTTTCCAGCGTCCACCTCCAGGGCCAACCTCTTTGATGACGTTTCCATCATCACCCTCGCCCATGTCGCTGGTATCCGCATCGCAGATACCACTGACAACAAACAGTGCCGCGGTGTTGATGTAGACGAAGTGTAGGATTGGGTCATCCGGCGGAACCTCGCCCATCAAGATCTTCATCAAGATCTGGGCGTTCTGTTCGGGCGATTGTCCAGGACTGACTTCGCTCAGTGGGTGCTCGGGTAGTCCGAAGTCCGCTGGCGTTACAGTGAAGTAGTTGATGTTGGTCTCCCCTGTAGAGGAATCTTCGGCTAACCGCCAGCAGTGCGTTGGTCCAGCGCACGAGAGCTCATCCAGTTCCTCGTCACCGCAGATGATCATGCCCTTCCTGCAGCCAGACTGCTTCAGCGACTCGGCGAAATCAGGGCCGATCTCCTTTCTTGCTACACCCAGCACACGCGCTTCAATCAAATCGTGTAGCGGGTTTGCTAGGGGTCCGAGAAGGTTGAAGATGGTGCGCCAGCCCAGTTGCCTTCGGATGGAAGCAGCGTGTCTGGCTCCAGGGTGGAAGATTGGGGCGAATAGGAAAGCGTAGTTCGTCTTTGAGTAGATTTCGTAGATGGTCTTGGGTGCGATAGCGGTGATGACAGGTGGTTTAGGGGGTGCGCAAGACAGGAGATCTGCTGAACCAGAACGTGATGTCGATGCTTTGTTGCCATGCTTTGCGATCATGAGGAGGGCACTGGCGAGAATGGACGACGTAGTGCTGATGTTGAAAGTGTTGTGGGAGTCACCTCCTGTACCAACTATATCGCACAAACCTCCCTGGTAGGAACCCTCTTTCCTTCCCCGTTGGCTGATGAGTTCTTGGAGACCGTTGACGTCAATTCCAGTAGCATAGTCGCGCATCGCCTTGGAGCATTTTGCCAATACTTCTGCTTGTCGGTCTTGGTCTGTAAAGTGGAGACATGTCAACAGCGCTCCAGTTTGAACTTCTGATAGACTGTTCGTGAAGATCAGGGAGAGGGCTGCTGCAATCTCGTCGGCTGTTGGTTTGGTCGTCGGTGACTCATGCCATAGTCGTTTGAGAAGGGGTGTGATGGATATTTTCGAATCCTCATCGCCTGCTTCGGTAGCCATGATATGGAATGATAGTCGTGGTCCTTGCGCGCTTGCCTTACTCCAGCATATGCGAGCTGGCGGGGTAGTTGGTGGGGGATGTGTTGGTAGTGACGACGTATACCAACTGGTGTTCTTGGTATGTCGAGGTTAGGACCGAATTGATGTGTGATGTAAAAGACCCTGAATCAAAGCAACCAGTTGAGTCACAGCATGGCCGCACGGAGGTGCGTCCAAAGTCCGCACTTGTGTCGCAATATGCACCACGATGAAGGCTCCACCGCGCTAGTCCGCAAGCCGTTAGCCACACAAAACGCCGATGCCAAGGCCTCCAAAATCTCGACTCAGTGCTCTCGCGAGCGACTGGAATCTTTTCAAGGTCATGACGGTCAGAGTTTCTTCTCTGACGGACCTTGTAGCTCCACCTTCCGCGACACCGACCAAATCAAATGGGGCAGAAGCGAACCCATGCCGAGACCAAGGATGGCTTCAAGAAGCCTTCTCCGGATAAGAACCGGATGAGCGCGAAGAACGACAGGAAGCATGGCGCGCGCAACGACAAGAAAGACACGCGCAAGGACGGTGACGCAAAGAAGCCGCGGTCGCAGCTGGTGCGCATTATCAAGAGAAGAAAAACTCATCACGAAGCTAACTTTGCATAGCTGCTCAAGCCGCAGCCAGAATGGCATGCGATAGAGTTGCCAGCGCTCCCGACCGTCGAGAATCCCACGATCCCGCCCCGTTACATCATCGACAACATCCACGAGTATGCCATCAAGCTCCTCGACGCAGAGGCCAGCGAGTATGCAGCCACCCACTTGGCCAAGGACTCGTCGCATAAGTTCATGTCGACCGTCATGGAGTCTGGTACCATGGAGGATAAGGTGTCTGCGCTGACCTTGTTGGTTCAAGAGTCGCCGCTGCACACGCAAAAGGCTTTCGGACAGCTCATGGGTCTATCTCAGAAGAAGAGCAGAAATGCTGCCATGCAGGCCTTGGCTGCGCTGAAGGATTTGCTGGGTCAGGGTGTTCTGCTCCCACCAGACCGAAAGCTCAAGGCCTTTGCGCGACAGCCGGGCCTTACTGCGGCACTGCAAGGAAAGAATGTACAGTGGAGAGCAGGCGACAAGCTGCCGGGCGCTCTGGAGAAGACACATCTGATTGTGTGGGCGTACGAGGACTGGCTGAAGAAACAATACTTTGAGCTGCTGAAGATTCTGGAAACCTGGTCCAACGACGAGGTCGAATACTCGCGCAACCGTGCCGTTACATATGTCTGGGAGCTGTTGAAAGAGAAGCCGGAACAGGAAGAGAACCTCTTGCGCCTGCTCATCAACAAGCTTGGAGACAAGGAAAAGAAGGTCGCGTCAAGGGCGTCTTACCTGCTGCTCCAGCTCCAGATTACCCACCCGCTCATGAAGAACGTCATCATCAGCTCCATCGAATCCGATCTCCTTTTCCGACCGAACCAGAGTGGCGTTGCCAAATACTACGCTATCATTACTCTCAACCAGACCGTTCTCAGCTTGAAGGAGCCCGAGGTCGCCAACAAGCTTCTGGAAATCTACTTCAGCATCTTCCTTGGGCTGCTGAAGAAGCAGAAAGAGCACGAGAAGGAAGAGAAGAGGATAAACAAATACGGTCACGTTCAGGGAGGTGGTGGTCAGCCAGGAAAGATGGCCAAGCAGAAGGCTGAAAAGGCGGCAACCATGGCCTTCAAGGTCGAGGACGAGTCGCGAGAGAAGCTGATCTCTGCCATCCTAACAGGTGTCAACCGCGCATTCCCATTCGCCAAAACCGACGACGCAAAGTTCGAAGAGCAGTTGAACATGATCTTCGAAGTCACGCACTCCTCCAACTTCAACACTAGTATACAGGCCATGACACTCATCCAGCAGATCTCTGCGACGAAGCACTACTCCGCAGATCGCTTCTACAGGACTCTGTACGAATCTCTTTTGGATCCTCGATTGATGACCACATCAAAGCACATCATGTTCTTGAACTTGCTCTACCGCTCGCTCAAGGCTGATACCAGCATCAAGCGTGTCAAGGCCTTCGTCAAGCGCTTACTCCAGATCATCCACATGCACGAGCCGCCTTTCATCTGTGGTGTTCTGTACCTCGTCAACGAACTGATAGCTACCTTCCCGACCATCAAGACCATGTTGTCAACGCCTGAAGACCACGCCGATGATAGCGGTGATGAGCACTACGAGGACGTCGATGAGGACAAGGAGCCAATGACTAAGAAGGTAGAAGAGAAGCCTGCACAAGTGACCTACGACTCCCGGAAACGAGACCCAGAATACGCGCATGCTGATCTGTCTTGTCTATGGGAGTTGCTGCCACTGCAAGCACACTACCACCCTTCTGTCCACGTCTTGGCCTCCAAGATCGTCAACCAGGAGCCCATCAAGGAGAAGCCTGACCCGACTATCTACACTCTCATGAACTTCCTCGACAAGTTCTCCTTCCGCAACGCAAAGACAAAGGCTCCAGGTATACATGGTTCGTCGATCATGCAGCCTATGTCTGGAACTTCCAAGGCCGCGTCTTATCTCATCACCGCCCGCGACGGCGACCGCACGCACGACCCGCTCAACTCCGAGCAGTTCTGGCGCCGCAAGGTCGACGACGTCCGTGTCGACGAGGTCTTCTTTCACACATACTTCGAAAAATCCGGCAAAGCCAAGCAGGCTGACAGGAAGACGAAGAAGAAGAATAAGAACAAGGACGACAGTGATGCAGGCAGCTCCGATGATGATGAGATCTGGCAGGCGCTTGTCAAGAGTCGTCCGGATGTTGAAGGCGATGGTGGTGACGATGACGACCTCAGCGACTTCGATATGGACGATATGATGAGCGACGATGAAGCTGGAGGAATGGACGGCGGTGTTGAACTCAACCTCGGTAGCGACGATGATGAGGCTATGGCGGAAGAGGAAGAAGAAGAGGCTGCCGGTGGCCAGCACCAAGACGACGATGACGATGACTTTGAGAACTTCGACCTCGACGACGAAGACGCCTTCATGGACAGCGATGCCGACGTCCCAGTCGAACTCAACGTCGGCGACGATGACGACGAAGATAAGGACAAGGATGGCCGCAAGGCCAAGAAGAGGAAGCTCAAGAGCCTGCCCACTTTCGCTTCTATGGAAGACTACGCGAAGATTATCGGCGATGACGATAGCGAGTAGCTGCGTCTCTTGTAGGGTGTAGGGCAAAAGCAGGTGCGAGGAGTCAGTCTTGTAGTAATGCTGATGCGATTCATCGAGTGGCGTTATTCGTCTTGTCCATGGCTTGAGTTTTATTGTAGATATCCCATACCCTTGTAATGGACGAGTTCATAGACCATCACGAGTGTGTTCATTGCTGTTACTGATGTTTTGGTGCATAAACTAGATATGTTGTCCATCTTGACTCCTACCCATCTTCGTGTAGTTCTTCAACGCCCGTCAATTGGCTCACACCTACATTGTCAAATCTGCAGTGTATTAGTTTGGCTACCTCAAATCCGATCTCTTTGGGTTGAGCCAGGTTGTCTGGATACTACAATGATTGCAATATCTAAGCAAGATACGAGAGTGAGATAGAAAGCTCACATATCCCGCAGTGAAGAAG